CTGGGCTATTCATAACTAGTAAGTAGGCTAGAGCTCTCAGAGTATTTTCTATATTATTCCCAATGTAAAATAAGCCTTATTAGATGTATGGCATACCATTTTCTCTGGGCAGGTGGAAACAGGTTTTAGTTAAGGGTGTAGAACACCCATGTGTGTTCAAGGAGATCTAATCACAGCTCCTCTATATTAACTCCTTTCTCATTCCCTAAAATAGACCAGCCTGGCAGTGTGGATGAAGAGGGACTGATCTTACTGGAGCAGAAACTCTTCCGAGCCAAGACTCAGATCAACAGCCAGCTGCGGCCCTTGATGTCAGAGCTGGAAGACAGAGCACGTCGGCAGCAGTACGACCTCCGTTTGCTGGAGACGAGCATAGATGGGATTCTGGCTGATGTGAAGAACCTGGAGAACATCAGGGACAACCTGCCCCCGGGCTGCTATAATACCCAGGCTCTCGAGCAACAGTGAATCAGCCAGAGAGATTTCTCAGCTGAGGTTCTTGGGATACAGACCTCAGGAGCCATCTCATGTGGTTGGGGCAGGATGGAGACATTTGAACAGGCTGAATGGGCATGCTCAGGTCCACTGAACCTGACCCCATCCCTGAGACCTTGGCCAGATAAATGTCTTATTGCACCTGTGTGACACTACTTGCTTCCTGATGCTGGGCAGTGAGGCAAATAGCACTGGGTGTGAGACTGGCCAAGGGCCCGGACCCCAAAGGGTAGACTGAATGGAAGGACAGGCTGCATGGGCAGGTGTTGGCCTTGGGGAAGTCACAAACTGAGTCCTGGAGTATGGACAGTGTATGGAGTATGGAGTATGCTGCTGGGCTATAGTCAGCTTATTCTTTGAGTAATATGACCAAAGGAGAATATTTTTTACTTCGCCCACTCGTATAGTTCTTCCTCATGTCTGAAACAGAGAGTGAAGTCCAGTCCCACTGTGGCCAGTGAAACCCTATTATCTTGTAGTGTCCAACTACAAGTTTCTTGTTGATCAGAGTTCCTCCCACTTAGCACCCAGTTTGTCAACACATCATCCACTTTCAAGCCGGAAGAAGTGAGCAGTGGTGAGAGGCTGGTTGCCTGGTCCATCGGGAGCAATGGTAACCTGTCTGGGTCCTGCCACCTTCGATTTCTCGTGGGGCCGGGACGTGCCATCCTTTCTCCAATGATGCCATGGCAACTTAGAGACTGCTTTCTTATTAAAACATTTCTGACCAGCAAAGCAAACAATGGGAAAGTATTTACTTTTGTGTTACAAAGTGATAGAAACATGTAGCTTGCACATTGAAAGAAGTACAATTATCTAGAAGATTTGTTAGTCCTAATTCAATCCCACTTTTCAAACACTAAAAATTATGTGTCTGTATGTTTTATTTTCTCATTCCCTCTCCCTGTAGCAGAGAATGTTCCTACTCACAGCTGAGCCAGGTAGACTCCATTCTTCACCCCTCCATCCCTCCATCCATCCATCCTTACAACATATATTTATTGAGTACGTACTGTGTGTCAGGGTCTGGGGTACAGTGATGACCTAGGCTCTGCCCTCACATAGTTGACTGTCTAGTAAGGAAGACAAACATTAAAAAAATAAATTTAAACTTACAACTCTTGTTCATCACAAGTGGTTTTTATTGGAATAACCCCCTGGTTTGCAACCTCATTTCTCAACAGAATATGTTGCAAGACACTCCCATGGGGCCCTCGGGTCTGGCAAAGCTGGGATGGGTCTGGGTTGTCCGCACTTCTTTGCATTCCAGCTGTCACTCCTGCCCTTTCCACACCTGATTGCAACAGACTGTTGAGTCACGATACCACCACTGGGAATTGCTGGAATTGCTGGGAGTCACGATACCACCACTGGGAATTGCTGGAATTGCTGGGAGTCACGATACCACCGCTGGGAATTGCTGGAATTGCTGGGAGTCACGATAACACCACAGAGACGCTTCCATCTCGGCTTGGAAGACTTAGGTGTAGCCTCGCCTCTGTATCTCCTTGGCTTCTCCATGGACATGTTTTTAAATAAAGAACAAGTCTAGATGCCTGTAGTCAGTTTCTAATTTGTCAAACTCTAAGCCTAAGATGGAGGTACCAAAACAATAGAAACCAAAACGTCACAGAAAGAGCAGTGGGTCCTAGAGTTTGCATTTTTCTGAACATCTTGTTTTGCCCTTTCCAACCCTGAGAGCACTTTATGAGAGTTAATTGGTGCTGTCTCCTAAGCATAAAGAAGGACTTTTTCCTGAACAACCTGAACGGGGGGCGGGGGGGGGGGGGTCATAATTAATATTTTTGTCTTTTTTCCTTTGGCTATGAAATTAAGGTAAAATCAATAGTTTGTGGCATATTGTCATGCTTTTTAATAAATTAAAATCTAATAAATTAAGATCCTGAATTGGCCATCTACCCAAGTGGCCAAGGAAAAAGATTCTGTTCCTGTCCACATTAATCCCACAAATTCTGACACGTCTAATCACTTAGTCTTACCTTGTGTAGAAGTGAATTTATTATCCTGTCTTCACATATTCAATCAGATATCCTATAAATCTCTCACAGTAACTAACAACTAGTGTCCGGGAAATGTATATGTATTACTTAGATTAACTACAATATCACACCGACCTAAAAATGCATGTAGCTCAAACACAATAGACTTTTTTTCTTGCTCTCATAATGGATGGGGAGCAAGTTGGCAGGGTGACCCTCCACATAGTCATTCCAGGGACCCTGCCATTTACAATATGTGACTTCTAAAGTTGCCCTGGGACTCATTTCCATTCCAGTGAGTAGAAAAGGAAAAAGACATGAAAGTGAGAGACACCTGGAAGGTTTTTGTGTGCCAGGCTTCGGAGGGGATGCAAGTCGCTTTTTCTCACATTCCATGGTCCAGAACCCAATTTTATGACCACATCTGACGTGCAAGGGGTCTGGGAAATATAGTGCTTTGGCAGGAAGCCATGTCTCAGTGACAGTCCTACACTATGAAAGGGAAGAAAGCTTTGCTAAGTGATCAGCGTCTGTCTCTGCCCAGTATGAGATTTGGCAGTACGTGTTCCAGGGAACTTGCTGAGGGATTCCATTAGTTAATACATGCAGTTATAGGTGCGCCTGGGTGGCTAAATTGGTTAAGTGTCTGACTTTAGCTCAGGCCATGATCTCATAGTTTGTGGGTTCAAGCCCTATATCAGGCTCTGTGCTGACAGTGCAGAGCCTGGAGCCTGCTTCAGACTCTATGTCTCCCTCTTTCCCTGCCTGCTCACCCTGTCTCTCTCTCTCTCTCTCGAATAAACAAACATTTTAAAAATATAAAAAATACATACAATTATAATACTATTCCTCAGTGGGATGAATCATAGAATGGGAGAGGATCCCTGAGTAGAGATGGGAAGTGGGAAAATGACTCATGTGACTCCCTTGATGTAGACATGATTCCATCATTTCTGTGGACCTGATAAACTGTCCTTAAGAAGAGAAAAGAGGTGTGTGGCCGAGAGATAACCTACTCAGGACCTAACCTCTGTCACCAGTCTTGTCCTGACCCTGCCAAATTCAGGGAGCTGTCTTTCCTGGTTCTCATCAGTATTTCTAATTGGTAGTGAAAACTCTCTTGTACTTCTCTCCTGAGAGTTTTCTGATTAATCATCTACTTTGACTCATAGGGACTTCTGTTTGGAGATGCGGGGAGGAATGAAGCTGCCCATAGACTACAGCTTCTTAGCAGATGTATTTCTGATCTCCCAGGATGTGGTTTCTTGTCAGCACTCTTGGGAGGCCAGAGAAAAGGGTCAGAAGATACTCAGTAATGTCCAATGTTTGGAGTGAGGCTCACGGACCAGGAATATGTTTATTATGTCTTCTTTTAATGTTTTTGCATGGTCATGGAAATGTTGTAGATTCTAGCTACGGTCCAATTTTCCCACCTGGAAAGCAGAGGTTAAAAATTTTTTTTTTCTTTTTTGCTTGGACTACATGGAACTTCCTAAAAACTTCTAAGCTCTGAAGCTTACTTATGGGTCATAAGAGAAGAAATGTGTATGTACATGTATGTTAGTTCATAGTGCATATATTTTAGAAGTTCATGTAAGTTAGCAAATCAAACCAATGTTTATGCCCGGCTTTAAACAAGCTTTCAACATTACATACTCTCATGACATAGAAAAGAGTGTTTAGGTTTCTGACCAAAATAGCAAACGTAAACACAAGTAATCAATTTACGAGGCATATCAGGCATCATTATGATATGCCGCCAAACCCAGATGGATATGCACCACGCTAACTAATCCCGATCTTAAACAATAACAATAAAACACATAGTAAGAACCAAAATTATTATTTTTTTTTAAATCACAACTAATCTGACAAACAAGTGGCTAAGCCCTAAATGAGGGTCCTACAGGGGATTTGCTATCTTACTTTATGAATCATGGCTGATACTAGCTAATGACAGTCACCATTTAGATCTATACCATCACACCATATATGTCACCACTATGCATGAAATAAAAACTAATAGAGCAGAACTGAACAATTAACAAATTATTCTTTTTTTTTTTTTTTTTGCTGTTTACATTGCCCAAATTGAGAGTTTAATGATTTGTCTTACTTACGATCTCTTATACCAAAAGTGAGTTATTCAAGTTGAGTTTTTACAAATACATTTTTGTTTCAGAAAGAGCTAATTTCATTAGGGAGCCAAAGCTAACCAAGATGAGACAATGCAGGTTAGGTAGGTTCTATGATCTGATTTTTTTTTAAATTGAAAACTCTTAGGCACAATTCACAACTTTGCTAATTATCCTTCCCTGCTTATGGTCCTTGGGTATGGGTGTATATACTTTCATATTACACATGTGGCATCAGCTAAATCAAGCAGAAGATCTCCACTCTAAGAACATTTTTGCAACTGTTGGCTCCTGTCAAGTAAGACTATGACAAAAAAGTGATTCATTCTGCAGCTCACAGAGGAGATTCTTGACAAAGACACAAGACGAGTAGCATTGTCTTATTTATTAATGTAATTGAAACATTTCGCTGATAAAATTCTTGTCTGTGACTATTCTAGCAACAAAATTTTACCCAAAATATTTCACTGTGAAATGGTGTTGCAACTTTAATGTAGTTTTTATTAATGAATTGATTTTCATAAAGCAAATCTTACTCTCAAAATGGCAGACTCCATGACCAAAAGTGATTCAGAAAAAAAGCTTCCCCCTCCCCATGCCAATCCTTGAGACCGTTTGGATCAAACTGAGTTCTGGCCCTGGCTAGACTGAAGGGAAAGAGTGTAACTCATTCCTAAGTAACTGGAACAGGCTAATAGGACACTTCAAACCTACACGACAAAGAAACCACGTGAAAAATCGAGTTCACTGGGCAGCTATAGGAAGGTGCAGACTGGATGAATCAGACCACAATGCTGTTCCTCAGGTATCCTAATTGGAAGAGCTACAAAATCAGTCCCTGTGTCCTTCCTCCCCATCTCACCTGTCGGCCTTCCTGCAGTAGCCTTGGGAGAGATCCTGAGCTTTTCATATTCTACTGATTTATTTTTGCATTACTCTTTTGATGAATGGAATATAATAACATGCTTCTCTCTCTTAGTCCCCTAAAGTGTGTATTCCTATCAGTTTGGGAGAGTAGATTTGGGCTGTTAAAATACGAGTCACATCTCCTTGTAATTCTCTGCCTTTTGCTGCAGTTTGATTATTGAGTCTCACTTTCTACTTAATTAGAACAGCGAGTTCTTCTTTCTGAGAAGCTGACGCATGAGACCAGAGAACGCTGGGGAAAGTTGGCCAAGCGGAGATGGGAAGAATAGCGTCTCTAGAAGCTCTAGCTCTGGGTTTCAGGCACTTCAGTAAGAGACTTTCCTCCCCTGTTCTTATGTACATTCAAGGAAAATGAAAGCAAGAAGGCCCCAGAGACTGCCTGGGGTTGGGGGTGGCGAATGAGGTACCAGGTAGCAGCACAGAGCCCCCCAGAGGGCCACTCCTTGAGGTGAGAGTCACTGGCACAAAAGGTTTCCCTCCTGCCTGTTCCTTACTCATATCAGCCACTTTCAGAAGGGCAAGAGGGATGTTTTTCATTGGTAGGCAGGAAATGAGGCTCCTGACCTCTCTTAACATGATCATTGCACCCCATGCCTTTCTGAAAATCTCTCAGCCATGCTAGCCTTGAGTTGGCCTTTGTAGGAAGAAGTGGGACCCCAGATGGGGAAGTCAGGGCCTAGAGGTCATCCTGTGGCACCTGTGGCACTACTTCAAACTCTGAGTCATTCCAGTGCCAGCCTTTGCAGCATCACAGCCACAGTGTCCTGCCCTAGACCAAGATAGGGGCTCTGACCTCCCCCTCGCAATGAAGAATAGGGCAGGTTGGAGAATAGACAATCCTGCCCAGAAGGAAATTCACATTTCTGTATATTAAAGGAAAGCTATCTTAATACTACCCCTGTGATCCACCAAGATCACATTTCATCGCAGACATCTTTATTGCCCTTGTTCTTTTCCTTCCTATGCACCTTCCTACCCCCACATTGAGTGTATCCAGCCAGCCCAGGGCCCTATCATGGACTGCGTACTAAACAGGGCTTGACCACAGAGCCCGGCAGAGTAACAGGGGACACCAACAAATGACAACCAACACCAGAGACACCAACACAGGTGTCTCTGGACACCAACACCAGAGACAAATGACATCTGGTTTTTCTCAGATCTGCTCATGTAGATCCTCATTAAACTCTAACCATAGATAAACTCCACATCCTTAAAAATGCCATGTTGCCTCCAGGGAATCCAGTTCCCTGTTTTCTTTTCCTGGCTTAGGACTGTTTTGCCTAGACAAAGCTCTTCTGTCTCTCTCTAGTGTCATCTTGAACATTCTAGGTCTTTCTTAGCCTTCCATAAAGCAATCAATCCTTTCTTGGATTCAGAAGGTCACTTTTTGGGATTTCCTCTAAGCTGTTGAGATCTCTTGATTTCTAAGGGAAACCTAGCTATGGCCTTCCTCCCCTCCGTCAAGACTGCCATTTGCAATGCCCCATATAGGAGCACCTGGGTGAGACATAATTTAAGAGAAAGATGCCAGATAAAGGCTGAAAAGAGTAGAAAACACATGTTACCTGGTCAGTGTCATGGGGAACTGGAGGGACAGAGATAACAGAGTGTAATGACCTAAGGGTCAGGGAAACAATATCCTTTAGCCAGACTCTCCGCTTGCTGCGTGACCCTGGGCCAGCCATTTAATCCAGTGGATATCTGCGCCTCATCTTTTAAAGGAGAATGTTGAATTAACTAATCTCTGAAGATGGTTTTTTTTTTTCATTTATTATTTCATGATGTTAACCAAATATTGAAACCCAGGAATAGGACCTTCATTCCCTCCTCTGGAGATTATTCCCATAATCCAAGAGGAATAACACTTTCCTAGATGCTGCTGTACCATGCTCTTCTGTTGAATCCTGTTCCTTTTCCTGGAGGCTATTGAAGAATGTCACAGACACAAAATGTGTGCTGAAGAATGGTGTCCCTGATGTCAGATCTCACCCCACTCCTCCTGGACCATCACTGGCACTAGATTTTGACAAAATTATCCTGCCCCTTGGGGACCTAATCCATGAAAACAACCAGAAACCCCAGAGCCAGAGACTAGATGAGACCCACAGAGCAGAAGAGAATAATTTTCTTTTGGCTCTCGAAAACAGGGCTTGAATGAGACCTGAACAACTAGAACAGTCTGTCAGAACTGTTTCCCGGAGCAGCAGAGGAAGGAAGGAATTAGAAAAAGAATGAAACAATTCAGTGGCTCTTGATATCCTTCCTGCCATGATCTCTGTTCTGTGAACCCATTCCCCTGCCAGACATATTTCCTCAGGCGATGACTGTGATTTCTGGCCTCTGCAGGAGATATGAGTAGCTCCAGAAACAAGACCGAAATACTGTCTCCAAAAGAAACTGACCTCAGACACCCGCTGTTTGGGCACAGCGAGAGTGGGAGAGAGCCATCAGTTCCCATCAGGGCAACAAGATGCTCTCTCCTTGGTCATCCTGGACTTGTAGCGCGACAGAAGCATTTCCCAGCCAAACAGGCAAAAAAATAATTCCAATTAGCAAAGATCTCTAGGATTGAGTGAATTCCTGGCATGTTTTATTTCAGAAATGACTGCACTGGTGGGATTTGGCCTCGAATGTGTGATTCTTTTCTGATGCAGGAATGTAGCTGGACATGACCTCCAGGGGCGTAGGTGGTAACCTGAAGCTTCCTTGGAAATGCCGGGCTGGCAGGGAACCCACTCTGCCATCAGTCAGAGCCCAAATGAGGAACTGTACAAATGCCACCAGGATATGACGATGGACTGGCTCTGTGTGATCACAGGCCCAGAGCGTCAGGAAAATGATCTTCTAAGCTAAGGAAATGGACTCGAATTCTTCTGAGAAACCCTACTTTTCCCAGACTTGCCTCCCAGGTTTTGGAACCTGGAAGCCTCAGTCCTGACCCTAGACTGTTGCGGTCGGGGGGTGTCTGGGTGTAGGGGGGTGTGAGCGGGTAGGTGGGGGAGGGAGTGTCAGGAAAGTGGAGGCGGCCTGGCCTTCTTTACCGGCTGCGGCCCTCACGCACGTACTGCGCGCTGAGGCTGGCTACAGTGTCCTAACATAAGGGAAGTTAACCCCACAGGGATGCATCGAGACTACAAACGTAAAGAACCACGCACACGGATTTCATCCAAATTCTATGAGGAGTGAACAACACCAACCAAACCAAACCAAAAAAAAAAAATAAAAAAAGAAGAAGAAAAAAAAAAAAACACCCAAAAAAACAAAACACAAAACACACGCCAAAAAACAAGAACAGAACAGAAAGAAAAATAGCCCTTCGTGGTAAAGGGCATGCTGGGAAGGCGAGAGCCAGAGCCGCCTCCCCAGAGCATGCTGGGAGGACGGGCCCCGGAGCCGCCCTCTAGAGCCTGCTGGGAGACAGACGCCAGCACATCTCCGAGGACTGCGGCCCCCCCAACTCCCACCCTATTCCCTCCCCCCCCCCCCCCCGACCCGGAGACTAGAGGAAAGTCTGTCCAAAGATGACTGCTGAGTAGGGTATGCCGTGGTTCTCTGCAGGCCCCCACACTGTGGGGGGCTGAGTCAGCAAGTGGGGAGAACAGTCAGGATGAGGAGACGGAGCAGCAGGGAGGAAGACGGGGGACTGACAGAGACTGGAGGGGCCGGTGTGTTGGCGGAGGACGAGGGGAGAGTGGAGCCGAGCGCCGTGTGGCCGCTAGCCCGAGGCGTTGATGTACAGCTGGCTCTTGAGAATGTAGTCGATGACCGGCTGCGACAGGTAATCCACGACGTGGCCGTCCCCATGCTGCAGGGCCAGCCTGGATGAGAAGAGACGGCGGTCAGAGGACTGGCCTGCCCGCGCTTCTCATCAGGGGAAGGGTTTACCCCACACCCCAGTGTCTGCCTCCCCCTGGGCTCCGTAAATGGATTCCCTATGGGGCAAAAGGTCGCTTGCCCCAGGATCCCTCCGGCACCTCGGTGACTCCATTTCACCCGGGCCCTGCGATTTCCTAACTGAGGGGCCCTAGGCAAGTTAATTAAGCCCATCTGTTCTTTCCGTTTTCTCTCCTGTAAAATGAGGGTAATGTTTGGGCCTATCTATCTCCTTCAGTTATTAAAAGGTTGTGAGAAAAACTAAAAAATAAAAGGATTCAATGCATCATTATGCAAAGCCTTTAGAATAGTCCAAACAGGGGCGCCTGGGTGGCTCAGTCAGTTAAGCATCCGACTTCAGCTCAGGTCATGATCTCACGGTTCGTGGGTTCAAGCCCCGCATCCGGCTCTGTGCTGAGGAAATAGCTCAGAGCCTGGAGCCTGTTTCAGATTCTGTGTCTCCCTCTCTCTCTGACCCTCCCCTGTTCACGCTGTCTCTATCTCAAAAATAAATAAAACATTAAAAAAAAAAAAAAGAATAGTCCAAACACCCGGTAGGGATTTCAACGTGTTAGCTATTCACTTCAGTCCTTCGTGTGTCTCTGCATTCATGAAGATGACTGACTCTCCTGATGGACCGCTTCCTTTCCTTCCTACTGGAGCCCTGACAGAGAAGAAGGTGACCTCCTCTGAGGCCCTTCTCACAAGCTCCGGCGGCTGTGGAGGGAGGCACTACCAGGTACAAAAGGGTTCCAGGGATCCATTTTGGCTTCTGCACAGCTGCGTTCCAGCCTTGGTCTGGCTGCTTCCATTCTCTACTCATGCGATGGTCTTGGGAATGGCAGGCCCCAAGGAGCTATTTGTAAACAATGCACACACTCCCCCAGATACCTAGATTCTGAAAGGCATCTGAACCCTGTCCTGTGAGACCTCTTCAGCGGCTGGCTCGCCGCCTTTTCAATGCATACACCGTTCTGATCTTGCAGGCAAGCTAGGTCCCTAAATGGCTCCCTGAACAGTTCATAGGGAAGCTTCTTGAAAAAGTGGTCTATGGGGGCGCCTGGGTGGCTTAGTCGGTTAGGCGTCCGACTTTCGCTTAGGTCATGATCTCGCGGTTCGTGGGTTCGAGCCCCGCGTCGGGCTCTGTGCTGACTGCCAGCTCAGAGCCTGGAGCCTGTTTCGGAGTCTGTGTCTCCCTCTCTCTCTGACCCTCCCCTGCTCACGCTGTCTCTCTCCCCCTCTCTCTCTCCTAGAAATAAATAAAACATTTTAAAAAATTAAAAAAAAAAGAAAAAGTGGTCTATGTCTGTGGTTTCCAAACGCTAATCCCAACTTGATCAGAATCCCCCCGGAAGCAGATTCCTAGGCCTATCCACCACAAATTCCAATCCAGTGGGATTGAATGGGACACAGGAATGTGTGGCGTTGCGTACGTGTGAGGGGTAATTTTATTGTGCACCCATATTTGGAACCAAATCCTCCTCCTCTCCCCTCACTGGCCATTGCCATTGGGTTTCAGCTCTCACCTCACAATTCGATGCTACTCTTGAAGTATTTACACCTGTGCACATAATGTCTATTTCCCAGGTTCCCTTGAAGTGAGGTATAGCCATGTGACTGAGGCTGAGCCAGTGGGATGCAGGGGGAAGTGATGTGAGCAACTCTGAGCCATCTTTTTAAAGACCAAGCTCCTGCCCTTTCCAGTAGTCATGGCAGCAGCTGTGGACCCACAGATAGAGGCTTCACATTGAAGACGCCAGAGATTCAATCTCTTTTGACTTCAGTCAGAGAGAAATAAACATTCCTCTTTCTTAAACTGTGACTATTTGGGCTCTTTTTGTTATAGCAGCTTAGCTTATACTCCTATTAATACAGTATTTCATAAACACTTCAAACTAAAGAGTCTCTAACTTAAAACATTCTCTTCCCCCCACAAGCCAGCTAAAACTAACCAAGGATGTGTTCCCCTTTAAAAGTAAATGACTAGAGGGGCACCTGGGTGGCTCAGTTGGTTAAGCATCCGACTCCAGTTCAGGTCATGATCTCGTGGTTTGTGAGTTCGAGCCCCACGTTGGGCTCTGTGCTGACAGCTCAGAGCCTGGAGCCTGCTTTGGATTCTGTGTCTCCCCCTCTCTCTCTGCCCCACCCGCTCTTGCACTCTGTCTCTCAAAAATGAATAAATGTTAAGGAAAAAATTTTTTAAGTAAATGACTGGAGACAAATACATGAAGTCCCCAAAGAAGGCTGAATACCAGGCAGCAGGTGTTAGTGGATGTAAGGGTCAGCTTGAACTGAGGAAAGTTGTATAAAACTTGTAAGCCCATTTGACCAAGTTCCCTCTGGCCGTTTGTCAAACGTACCTGCTCTTGGTTGAGCTGACAACAGACATAGGATGGTTGATGTCATCCTTCACCACCATGATGTTGTTCTGGGGATAGAGCAGAGAAATTGGGTTGCCAGCCCCTCACACTAAACTCCTTGGGTGCCCTCATTCCTCCAGCTCCCCCAGGCCTCTCAGAGAAGGAGCATGCCACAGAGCTATAGCAGCCGGGAGATGAAGGACTCACTTTGTATTTGCGGAGTATTGAGGAATGATTCATGATCCGGTCTGTGTCAGCTGCGTCCCGGGGCACCACCACAATCCCAAAGTCCCCCACAATCACCTCCATCTGAAAAAACAGAGAAAGCATCCTTTGGTGAGACCATGACTCCAACCCCTACTAAGGAACTACTTAGCAAATGGAATGATCTTCCATGGGGAACCGCAAGCTTTAGTCCTAAGCTTGCCTTCTCAACCCTACCAGTCAGCTCCTTCAAGTAAGAACCTGTAACAGTGTTCGTGGAATGAGTGGGAACTTCACCTGGCACACAGAAGATGCTGAATAAATACCTTTAGACTGAATGAATAAATGCACTCCTGCATGTTTGGGCAAGACCTCTCCAATTCCCGAGGCTCCTGTTGAGTTCATTATGCTGAAATGTAATAGGAATGACACATAGTCCATACATGGTAGACACCCTCACAGGCCACACAGGTCCAGCTGCCCAGCACGTGTACCCCAGCTCCCAGCTGGACTACTGAGAAGGGTAGGAAGCTCCCTGGCTCACCCCATGTCAAAGCTGCTGGGGCCTTAAGGGCGATGAAGAGTGCGAAGGGCTTGGAATGCCTGTGTGCCCACAGGCAGTGATGGGAAGATTATTATGGGGTCACTTCTAAGATCAGCCTCTGATAAATGCTTGCTGCCATGATGAGAAATGAAACCTTTGCATTTAAAAAAATGTTTTTTTCTGGTTATAGACATAGTACAAGCTTGGGAAATTCGGGGGGGGGGGCATAATCAGTCACAATCACACAATCAAGATAACTATTCTTGGGGTGCCTGGGTGGCTCAGTCGGTTGAGCATCCGACTTCATCATGATCTCATGGTTCATGAATTTGAGCCCCGCACCAGGCTCTGTGCTGACAGCTCAGAGCCTGGGGCCTACTTCTGATTCTGTGTCTCCCCCTCTCTCTGCCCCTCAGCCACTCAATGCTCTGTCTCTCTCAAAATCTAAATAAACATTAACAAAATTTTTTAAAGATAACTACTCTTAATGTAGTGTATTTCTGTCCAGTGTTTCCTACTCTACAAATAAGTGTATATAACTACAACTAGATTAAACTAAAAATAGTAATCATTTTCCTGTACTTTTTATTTAGCATTATATTGTGAACATTTTTTCACATTGTTAAAAATTATTTGAAAACATTAAGTTTTAACAGTCTGCATACTTCGTTGTCTGTACTAAGTTATACATGACATATTAAACAATCTGGCATTATAAAATGTGTACAGTTACTTCTGATTTTTTGCAAGTATACATAACACTTTGTTGATGATCTTCATGTATAAATGTTTCTCCACTTCCCTATTTCCTTAGGATAAGAAGTAAAATAATTAGATGAAAGGATAAAAACTGATATATATGAACATTTCATGAACATATTTCAAGTTCATAAGACATATTACCAAGTTGCTTTCTGGAGACTCGTGCCAATCTTTATTTTCAAAAAGCCCGAAAGTTATGACATTTAATAGACTTGGGTCTAGCCCGGGCATATTACTGTTTAGATCTTGCCAATTAAGGATCCCAGATGGGGAAAGAAGGGAGGGGGAGACAGGTTGCTTCTAAGCAGTGTAGCTCATTGAGCAAGACCTGCTCTAGTGGTAAGGGACACGGGTTTTTCCTCCTAATAAGTGCCAGAAAAGCAGACATTATGGAACACTGTGGCCACTTCTGTATCAGACAATTTCTTTTTTTTTTAATGTTTTATTTATTTCTAGGAGAGAGAGAGAGAGAGACAGTGTGAGCAGGGGAGGGTCAGAGAGAGAGGGAGTCACAGACTGTAACAGGCTCCAGGCTCTGAGCTGGCAGTCAGCACAGAGCCCGACGCAGGGCTCGAACCCACGAACCGCGAGATCATGACCTAAGCNCAGGGGAGGGTCAGAGAGAGAGGGAGTCACAGACTGAAACAGGCTCCAGGCTCTGAGCTGGCAGTCAGCACAGAGCCCGACGCAGGGCTCGAACCCACGAACCGCGAGATCATGACCTAAGCAAAAGTCGGATGCTTAACCGACTAGCCACCCAGGCACCCCAGACAATTTCCATAGGAGCAGAATTCCACTTTTAAGTCTAATTCATTGATTACGGTTGAGTATGCCACACATGCCCGCACATGTACACACATGTCCTCCAGCATTTCACCTTTACCCTACTTCCCCCATTGCTTACAACTGGAGCTAGAGTCACAGCCGGAACTCCAACATTGCTGAGACAAAAAGCTGGTGGAAGGTACCCTGGGAGGGAGGCTGTGCAGAGACGTTAGAAGCTACGTATAGAGCATCAGAGCCCCAATTGGGTCGAGCCATTTGGAAGATAACAGAGCATTATACAGCATGCTGCATCTATTGGCAGTGTTCAGATTGGGCAAACTGGCACCAAGTGGTTGTCCTATAAACCAGGAATGTTAGGGAGAAGCTGGGCAAGGAGATGGGAGTAGATCAAGCTCCTCCTCCACAGCTTTAGAATATTGTCCTGGGATTCACTACTCAGAAGGTAACCCGAGGCACTGGTTTTCAAACTGGCTGCACATTTGAATCACCTGAAGAGCTTTCAACATTCTTGAAGCCCGGCTCACACCCAAGATCAGTTAAATCAGGATCTCTGGGAATGGGGCCCAGGCATCAACAGTTTTTTAAAATCTCTCAGGTGATACCAATACACAACCAGCTTGATAGCTGGTGGTCTGAGTTTCGTTTAAAAGCCCCAGGGGAGGGGTACCTGGGTGGCTCAGTCAGTTGAGCGTCCGACTTCGGCTCAGGTCATGATCTTGTTCTACTGTTTCAAGCCCCTCATCAGGCTCTGCTGATAGCCTGGAGCCTGCTTCAGATTCTTGGTCTTCCTCTCTCTCTGCCCCTCCCTTCCTCAGGCTCTCTCTCTCAAAATGATTGTTAAAAAAAACAACCTCCAGGGGAAGTGGTAACATAGAGAAGGGAGAAGATGAGAGGACAAGGGGGAAGGGGAGAGAGATGGGGAGAGAGGAGCGAGGAGCAGGGGGGAGGGAGTCCATCCAAGCTGGTGGGCGTGGACGTTCCTCACTTCCTGGCTATGTAGATGTTTCAAGATACCTGGTGTACAGGGCATATCACCTTCAATTTGGTTCTGAAAACTTGGAATATATATGATGCATGAAAAATGGGGCTGTTTGAAGTGAGCGTTCTCATTGAAAGCATGAAAACCGTGGTTCAGAGTGGAGTCAGGCCTTGCAGCGGGTCACCCCGTGGCTCACATTAGTACATCTGCGGCTTCCCACTCAGGAGCTAATGATCTGAGCACCCAATCAGTAACGGTGCCAGGTGGCTCAGTGGGTGGCAAGCAGATGGAGACCTTGCTGCTTGAGATGTATTCTCCTTCCAGAAATGGGTGACAGACCTGTCCCCTGGGGGTCGCAGATGGAGCAAGGGAGACAGGGTCCATAGGACAAAACACACAGCTTAACCAAACCCAAGCCGCGTATCTGCAGGGGTTTGCGTCAGAGACTGTGGGTCTTCTCTGCTCCTTTGGCCAGACCCTAGGGCCCTGGGTCTAGAGGGTGTTTGTGTCGGTGTGCATTTGGGGGTGGGAGCGGTGTCACCTGCTGGAGTCGGTGAGGTGTGCCCTCAGTCCCTTCGGCTGCATCTCGTGCAGGACCTTAGCTGTCCTTCCCACACCACCCTCCATCCCTGTGTCCTGTCTGCACCTGGCCCCTCTCTCCAGGAGACCGGGAGACCACCCTCTCCCGGTTTCCTCCTACCTCAGCAGCTGCAATTTTGGGTTCCTGTGCTGGTTCTTTCTCATGTCCCATGCCTTAACCCACTGGAGTCCCCCCAGTCCCTGGACCTTTCTCTCTCTCTTTTTTTTTCTTTTTTTCTATCTATACTCACACTGTCAATGATTTCATTTAGTTTCACAGTTTTAAAGCCTGAAAGCTCCCAAATTAATACCTCCAGCACAGGCTTCTCTCTTGACCTTCAAACTCCTATATCCAGCAGCCCTTTCAATATGCTTGTTTAGATGGGAGCATCTCAAATCTAAAATGTCCATGGGCTCCTGAACCTTCTGACATCAATCAGTGAATCAATCAATCCTCATACCCCCCCCCCAATCCCATTCCTATAGTTTCTTCATTTCAGTAAATAGAAACTCTCTTCTCAGAATTGCTCAGGCCAAAGCCTTGGCATTTTCCTTGATTCTTCTTTCTCTCACATCCCACATTCCTAAAAGGTAATCCAATCGATTCCATCTTCAAAACAAATCCAAGAATCTGCTCATTTTTCACCATTTCCATGAAATATATCTTGGTCCATGCCTCCTTTGGTAGGTTAAATAACGGCCCCCAAAGATAATGAGGCCCTAAGCTCTGGAACCTGTGCATGTTACCTTATAAAGCAACGTATATGCAGATATGATTAAGGATCTTGAAATTATCCTGCATAACCTAGGTGAGCGCTAATGCAATAACAAGTGTCCTTACAAGAGGGAGGCAGAGGGAAACTTAACACAGAAGAGAGATGATGTAAATAGACAGCAGAGGAAGATTTGAAGATGCTCCACTGTTGGCCTTGAGGTTATAAAGAAGGGGTCATGACCCAAGGAAGGCAACCAATGTAGCTCAAGAAGCCAGAGAAGGCAAGGACACAGATTCTCTTCTGGAGCTTCTGGAGGCAATGTGACCTTCCCAACAACTTGGGTTTGGCTCAGTGAAACCTATTTGGACCTCTGGCTTCCAGAAGGGTAAGAACATAAATGTGTGTGGTTTTTTTAAAAAAAATTGTTTTTATAGTTTAATTATTTTTGAGACCAAGCATGAGTGGGGGAGGGGCAGAGACAGAGGGAGACCCAGAATCCGAAACAGGCTTCAGGCTCTGAGCTGTCAAGCACAGAGCCTGATGTGGGGCTCAAACCCACAAACCTTGAGATCTGACCTGAGCCTAAGTCAGATGCTTAAGCAACTGAACCACCTAGGTGCCCCTAAATGTGTGTGGTTTTAAGCCACTCCTACAGCAACAGGAAACAAATTCATCCCCATCGCCTCTCACTTGGATTGCTCTGGTCTCCTTGTTTTTCTCTTACCTTTTTCAGTCTATT